GTTAATATGGCGGGTGTAACTTAATTTAGTTATAATTACGTTCTAGAGAAGGTACATTTGTTTTGAGCGAGGTACTAAATAGTACATTTTTAGTAAGAGCTATAATTTAATTCGCGATGGTACACCCGCCATTTTGACTCACATCCACCGAAATAGAAAGCGACCGCTTCATATAGATATAGATATAGATATAGAAATAGGTATAGAAATAAAAATAGATATAGATACAGAAAGGCATATTACCTGATATTGTTGATATTCCGAGATGAGGTCCGCCATGTTGCTGGCAGCTTCCGTAAACTCCATTTCATCCATACCCTCCCCCGTGTACCAGTGAAGGAACGCCTAACATCAACTTAACAATCTTACTAATATAAAAAATGTGAAAGTTTAGATGGATGTTTGTTAGAGTTTGTAGCTTAAACTGCTGAACGGATCTCGATGAAATTTGGTAAAGATATGGAATATAGTCTGGAGGAATACATAGGCTACTCGATTTTGTTTTTTTCCATCCGAATGAAGTCGCGGGCGGAAGCTAGTATTATAATATAAATACGAAAGTTTAGTTGATGATGTTTAGGATGATGGATGTGATTTCGATGAAATTTGGTAAAGATATAGAGTATACTCTGGAATAACATAGGCTACTCGCATTTGGTTTCTTGAATTCCACGCAGACGGAGTCGCGGGCGGAAGCTTAAGCCTAAACTATACAGATCTCGAATACATAGACTTTTATTAATACGCAAACAGAATCGCAGTCGAAAACTAGTTTTAATAAATCAGTGATAGGAAAATTAATTTGGTTAATAAATTAATAAGTATAGAATAGCTGATGCTCGCGACTTCTTCCGCGTAAAATTAAAAAAAGTAGTAATAACATAGCCTTTGTTACTCACAGATAAATTACCTTTATAATGGTAAAAGAATTATTAAAATCGGCCCAGTAGTTTTTGCGTGATTCAAATACATACAAAAATCCAAGGACTGAGGACTGAGCGACTGAGCGACTGAGCGTCTGAGCGTCTGAGCGACTGAGCGACTGAGCGACTGAGAAACTGAGCTACTGAGCGAACGAGGGACTGAGCGACTCAGCGACTGAGCGACTGAGCAACTGAGCGACTGAGCGACTGAGAGCCTGACTGACAGAGACTGAGGGCTGCCTCACTCCTTGCAAAGACTTTTATAAAACTACCCATTACTACTTCCGTTTCTAATATTTTGTAACAGTATAGATATAGATTATTAAACTCACCCGTCTTCTAAACATTGCTGTAAACTGTTCAGATATACGTTTAAATATCTCTTGTATTGCTGTTGAGTTGCCAATAAAGGTCGCTGACATTTTCAATCCTCTAGGAGCGACATCGCATACAGATACCTTTAAATTATTAGGTATCCATTCCACGAAATAACTAAAATACACCTTTTTATATTAAAATCTTAATAATAAATATATCCTATATCAGTGTGGGATAAATTATCTTTCTAATGGAAAAAGAGTTGAAATCGATCAAGTAGTTTTTGAGTTTATTCGTTACATGTTATATTGTACATTTAAAATATTGTGTTATCTACAAAACGGCTTAATGGATCTCGATGAAAGTGAATGATAATAATTTGAACATAATCTGGAAGAACACATAACTTTCAAACGTTTTTTACTAAAACTCCCTTACTAATCATTCATTAAAAAACATCCTCACTAGAACTCCCCTTTAGTCAGCAATTAAAACCTTTTTCAATAAAACTCCCCCAATAAAATACCTGCCCATCAACCCCCCCCCCCTCCCCATATTTATCCCCCTCATATTTTTTAATATCATACCTGTAGTTACCCTCCATTATACCTATAGTTACCCGCCCCCCCTTTATACCTGGCGTTACCCCTTATTATACCTATAGTTACCCCCCCTTTTGCACTTGGAGTTACCCCCCTCCTGAACCCCTTTATACCTCGTTTCCCCCCCTATTACCTTGAGTTTTTATTCTGTATCGCGAGTATCTGATCGTCAACTTCCCTCATAGACATGTGACCTCTGAACATAGTGGCCACTGTGAGGTATCGTCCGTGGCGCGGGTCGCACGCAGTCATCATGTTCCCCGGGTTGAACATCTGTACCACGGATATTGTTTTTATTGTCTAAAGCAGTGGTTCCCAAAGTCTATATTGACCCCTAGGGGTCTGACAACCTGCAGGGGGTCTATGACAACCTGCAGGAGGCATAACAACGTCTACGTCAGCGAAGAAAAATTTGGGGTTCCATGAAATGAAAATGGGGGTCCACGATAGTAACTCAACATATACACTGATAGTACCTATTTACTTACATCATACTATCTTATATCAAAACATATACATTATTTTCAGTAGTTTTCATTTAAATTCAATTAATAAATGTATGAATTAACATGTGTTTCTTTAAGTTTGTAACATTAACTTCACTACAGTTAGAAATATACAGGAAATCAATATCAGGTAAGTAGGGGGTCTACACAACACGGAAAAACATGCCAAGGGGTCTACGACACAACAAAGTTTGGGGAACTCTGGTCTAACGTAACATGCAATTGATGTACTTTTTTTTGTTTATTTAGTTTTATTTTCGTATAATATATGTAGTACAATAACATAATCATACTTTTTTCTACATTGTATGGACCCTTTTACTGATAAAAGCCTCCAATAACAATGCAGGTTTTGTAAATTTCTTTTTGTCTCAAAAAAATATATTTTAGTATGTTTTTTGATATGGCATAAGATTTTGAGACATAAACACATTTTTTCAGTGTTATATCCACTTAAATATACGATGGCTTATAGTTTGAAATTAAAACATTTATTAATACTTTAATAAATAAATATAAATAAACACTTGGGGAAACTACAGTTTGATAGCGCCTTTTTTGCTTAGATGTTTATTTAAAGAAAATAACGGCATTTTTAGTTAAATTAAAATAGCTCTATTTTTAGTCAAATGAAATTAGCGCCATCTTTTGGATGGTGTACAACACAAACTTTCAAATAGTTAAGTAAAGCGCCATCTTTTGGATAATGCCAGTTAACTTACAAAACACTAACAAAAATACTAAAAGCGCACGCACACCTTTGACTAAATAATCGCAAAAAATTTTTCTCAGCCTTCAACTGTTTAGTTGCACGACTAAACATCGAGTAGTGTAGCTCCATATTAGCTCAAAGGAATCAAAGCGAGACTAAACAGTTGTGCGTAGTTCAGTCAAAGGTGTGTAGTGTTTTGTGAATTGACTGGTATTATCCAAGAGATGGCGCTTTACTAAACTATATAAAAGTTTGTATTATTTATCATCCAAAAGATGGCGCTATTTTCATTTAAGTAAAAATTACGTTATTTCCTTAGAGATCACGATAGTGTAAGTAAAACTGACCTGACTCATGAGTTCAGGTACCGTCTGTGCTCGGTAATTAAACGAGTTACGAGCCGTCAGCGGAGCGAAACCTGGGCAAATAGACATTATTCTGATTACAAAGGAAAATTATTGAAAAGCTAGCGAAAGTGACGTTACCATCAAGAACTAGAAAAAGGAGTAGGCAGGGCCTTTCACCCCCCAGGAGTAGGAAAAGATACAAAATAGATATCATATAAACTATAGTGAAAATATCAGAAATTCAAAAACTACACAAAAACTTCAGGCGGTTTTAATTTAAAAAAATAGGCAAGTTATTACAAGCATTGTCGTCAATAAAAATGAAGTCAATTACCTTAAAGTTTTTTTAATTTCGCGAGAAAGAAGTAGCGGCCAAAAGCAAAGAATTTCATTAACTTACCCGGCATAAAGAAATGTAGTCGAGGGAACGGGACCATGTTGACAGCCAACTTTCTTAGATCTGCGTTCAATTGTCCCGGGAAACGCAGACAAGTTGTTACACCCGACATCGTCAGCTAAAAATATAACCCTTTCTATACCAATATAAAAAAAAACGTAAACACAGTTTTTTTATATAGTCAGAAAACACAAGATAGTTTTAAATAATTCATTTTTTAAAAAGCCTTACACTTATGACACGTTACAGGCTATATATTTTCTCTCGAGTAGATTGTAAAAAAAAATTGAGAGAAAGGGACAAAAATTACAAGCTAATAAAATCAAAGAAGCAAGATGTTAACAATAAAAAAAAACCTTCATTGTAATTTGAGCTTTAAAATTTAGGCATTTACAGTTAAATTTACGAAACAATAGTAAAAAAACAATATTAAGAATAGTGCCATCTAGTAAAACTTACATTAAACTGTGACACATTTTAAAACAGCGCCATCTATCGTTGCTTACCGATATCAGATGATTCAAATCCCCGTAGCTCGGACTGGCCAGTCGCAGCGTTCTGAAGCAGATGTTATAGAGCGCTTCGTTGTCGATACAAAATGTCATATCCGTGTTCTCTACCAGTTGATGTACAGATAACGTCGCGTTATACGGCTCTAGGACCACTTCGCTCACCTACATTATATTACCCTTTATTTATTTCTATGTATATCTATACTAATATAATGGAGCGTAAACACACTACTTTGTGGCGTAGATCACAGCATATCTTACTAATATTATAAATGCGAAAGTTTAGATGGATGTTTGTTAGAGTTTGTAGCCTAAACTGCTGAACGGATCACGATGAAAATTGGAACTGACGTGGATTTTAATCTGGAAGAACACATAGGCTACTTACATTTGGTTTTTTTAGTTCCGCACGCACGGAGTCACAGGCGAAAGCTAGTACTAATATAATAAAGTCAATCACAGTCACAGCATATTTTTGAATAATTCTTTCTTTAATAAAAAGCCCTACACTTACACGATTTAGGCTATATATTTACTCGCCATTAAACTGAGGGGGTAAATATTTAGGATAAAAACCCTAATATGGGAAAGAGACCATAAGTTGCTGCCAACATCAAGGAAGCAAGATTGCCAAGGTGTGTGATGTCATGTCATTTTGACATTTGCCAAAAAATGTAAACAACAAAATAAAGATTTTATAATATCACGCGGATGAAGCCGCACAGGAACAGCTTGTTTATAATATTTATATGACACGAAGTCGCGGGCAAAAGCTAGACATAAAAAACGTAGTTTACTCACCTTAGGAGAAGGTACCACACTGAAAGTATTCATTATTCTATCGGGATACTCTTCTCGTATTTTACTCAACAATAACGTTCCCAAACCTGACCCAGTCCCTCCCCCTAAGGAGTGCGTCAACTGGAAACCTAATAAAAACTACTAAAGTCACTTTGCCAAATTTAACTCCAAAAAACTCAAAAACTACTCAATCCATTAGACTTTGGGCAATTCATTTTAATAATTCTATTTATTTAACTAATATTATAAATTCAAAAGATTAGATGGATGTGTATTTTAAACTGCTGAACGGACTAGACTACTTTTGTTTTTTTTTTTGTCATCCAAAACGGAGTCGCGGGCGAAAGCTAGTCATAATGTGGTTTTTAACAATTCATCAATAGTGTGAAAATTTCTTCAAGTCAAATGCTGCATATTCCCCTATATATTTTTGTCTTGTTGAGTAGTTTTTGAGTTTATTTAGGCAATTATATCATACCTTGCAGGCAATCACAACCTTCTGCCTCCTTCCTTATAACGTCAAGCACGGAGTCTACTAACTCCGCGCCCTCCGTATAGTGTCCCTTTGCCCAATTGTTACCTATGACAAATTATACTAATATTATTAATACGAAAGTTTATATGTATGTTAGTCTGTATCCTAAACTGCTTAATGGATCTCGATGATTGTAATACATGTAAAGAATAGTCTGAACACGTAGGAAATTAAGAGTCTGTCTGGCTGGAGGCTCAGATAGCTTAAAAATGACGTCACTGTCATAAGGAATCACATATTTTATATCTTGGATTATCAGACAATTTACAATTTGGTGGGACAGGCCCTAAGTCTGTACTAATATTATAAAGAGGAAAAATACTATTTTTAAGTTTTTTGTATGTATTGAAATAACTAAAAAAGTAGTGGGCCGATTTCAAAAACTATTGCACTATTAAAAAGCTGTATTATCTGTAATATAGGCTATATTAGTACTATTTTTAAATAAACGCGGGCGAAGTCGCGTGAAACAGGTAACTTACCAGCACCGCTCTGTCCAAACACGAAGTTGTCAGGTCTGAACAGTTGTCCATAAGGACCGGAACGCACGGCGTCCATAGTGCCTGGCTCTAAATCCACTAATACGGCTCGAGGGACATATTTGCCTATAGGAATAGTAGAGTCAAATCTTACTAATATTATAAATGTGAAAGTTTAGATGCATGTTTGTGAGTATATAGTCTAAAATGTTGAACGGATCTCGATAAAAGGCACAGATGTGGAGGAAGAGCACATAAACTTTTTTTACACAGGCGGAGTCGCAGTTGAAACCTAGTGTAAAATAAACCACATTTTACGTCAAGTTCAATGAATTGATCAAAACGCCATCTAATGGCCTTTTAAAACATTAAAGTCTTCCGAATTTATTAGATTAAAGATGGCGTCAAATATTTTGAGTGTAATTCTTATGCGATAAGATGCTTTAAAATTCAACCGGTTTTTTGTAGAATTTTGATTATAAAAATCAAGCATTAATTGATAAAACTCTTTTACCTTTTAAAAGTTAACAAAAGTATTGTTTGGAGATTTAGCTACTGACCGCTAGATGGCGCTTACTTCTAATTTTAGTACGAATATATTTAATTACTTTACCTGAAGATGCTTCATTATAATAAACATTGATTCTCTCTTGCTGTAGTTGATTCTCCCCATTATAATATCCAGAAGGATCGACGCCATGCTCATCTGATATTATCTCCCAGAACTGGAATATTACATAACCAACATTATAATTATTTTGTGAACTTTCTCACAACCTTCAAAATGTCAATGCCCTCAAGATTAACAGAGCGTGAAGTAAAACTGAGTCAAAAGTACTACAAATTATTCATACAATTGTGCTCGAACTTTAAAACATTTCTCATGTACATTTTACAGTATTCAAATGTTGTTTATTAAATACGATAAAAATAATGTTGTACGTAATTTGACATTTATTAGCGCGGGAAAGATAATGGTAATTGCTTGTAATACATAAATTAATTTAAAAAATGTAACGTTATATTACGCATACAAAATAAATAAATTGATTGATTTAATGCTTTTTAATTAATTGTTTTAAATAATTTGATATTTTTAACATACGCGGGAACAATGACATTAGCAAAAATTTTTTTTTTCTGCATATAAGGCACACGCAACCCTATCCAATAGGACGAGATCTGTCAACCGCAACCACAAACTATTTTTAGATTGAAAACCTGACATCCGGGCATTTCAAGTTTCCTTTTTTTACTAAAGTTGTTGTGCCATAAATTCTTGTCTCAACGTTTTTTTTTTTTGTTTTCTATAATTAAATTAATAAATCAAGTAAAGAAAATACTTAGGTACAGTATAATTCTGATTTTCGGAATTACATAATTAGTAATTTTCTAAATATGATCACATTTGTAAATTAGTGTAACGGAATTTAATAAGAATAATATTCTCATATTTCATTTTTCTTAATTTAATTTTTATGAAACAAGTCTCCCTAAATTATTACAAATAAAACATTAAAGTATAAACACCTAAGGTTAATTTAATAGCAAAATTTCTTTTACATATCGACAATAAAATTAATTAAAACATGAGATACGTCGAGTTAACTATCATTTATTTGGCAATTAATGTACTTAATTGCGAAAAATAAAAACGGATGTTAAAAGAATTAATTCAAAAATTGTAAGTTTAAAAGAAAACCTTTGATCCAATCTGATTTCCGCACTGGCCAGCTTGTACGTGCACTATTTCACGCATTTTAAAACAATAAAACAATCACTGAACAGATAAAAAAATATTTTAAAAATGAACGTTAACACATAATTCTCAAACAAGAAATGCTAACAACCAGCACAATCTTTATCGGAATTTATCAATATTATCAACCCATTCGTAGTACTGCCCGGCTAATACTGATAAAAAATGTATAACAACAGTCCCTTGACCTACCAATGCTGTGGAAATATTGAAGAGTACAGGTCAATTAATAATGGTTGATTTAACAATTGAAAAAGTGTGATTTAATCGGTTACGTGTTTGTTATTTGATAAATATTTAGGTGTGTCATTATTCCTTTATTACTAGGTATTGTAATTCGAAGATTATCGACCCATTGTCTCCATTGTTAAGAAATTATATTTTGCCAGACAAAAGAAGTAATTTCAAGAACAGCAAAACAATATAATGGCACAGCTTTTATTTTATATCAGAGTTTTAAATAACTTTGATAAAAGTTTTGTTTTTTATTTTTAAATAAGATAAGTATTATAAGAGATGCATTAAAAAACTCACATTTCTATTTAATTGGACACGTCGTATCACTGTTTTTAATCAGTTTTAATTTATAATTTTTTATATCAGTTTCATTCTTTTGAATTTCGGTGTATTTGCAAACTTATAAAAAATTCGATACTCCTTTTTTTTACATAATATAATTTAATTATTCAATTTGTACAAAAATTTAAGTTTACGGACGAAAATTGTCAGACGCTGGCAATTTGACAATGACGTTTAGAGATTGTTTATAAATTTTATACGAGATTATTTTAAATTTATTTTAATTTTATAATGATTTAGCTTTTATTAATGTAAACTGTAAATAGTAATTTTAAAATTTTAGTTTAGTTATCGATAATGATATCTCCACAGTTATAACATCGATTCGACTAGAAAAATGAAATTAATAAGCATTATACTCACAATTTTACTCTGTTTATGTGCAATTATTGGAGATTATATCGTATTTAAATCAAAATACTCTGAATCACAAGTATTCCGTGCTTTTTCCGACAGCAGTGTTCATGCAATCATCGGTTTAATATCTGCAATATTATTTTTCACTTACGATGTCGGATTGACTATACAAGCACGCTTTTATAATGCAGCATTTTGTACAATACTCTCATCTTTAATAGATATTGATCATTTTATTGCTGCAAGATCTTTTAAATTAAAGGTATTACTTACATTTCAACCTGAAGGCCCAGCTTTAGTCCCTTTTTATTATAAGCTGGAATATGAGCAAGCGGCCACCTGAATAAGCCAAAATGGCATAGCGACGGCTGCCCATAGAAATATACAATAGTGGATGCATTGCCTACCCTTAATGAACGAGGTGACCCACATAAAGATGCTGTTTCCCCTTCCTAAGCTTCACCTCCACCGTCAAGGGGAGAATGTGGATTTGATAGTGATGGAGACTCATAGAAAGGGGAAACATCCTCTTAATGTGTGTCTCCTTCAATTAAGGGTAGGCAATGGATCCATTGAGTATGTCTATGAGTAGTGGTTGCTACACCATTTTGGCGGATTCAGGTGGCCGCTTGCTCGTTTGTCACCTTATGATTTTAAAAAACCCTTCATCTTTTTATCAGCATTTTCTACTTCTTGACTTCTAATTGTTTATTTTTTTCTTTCAGGATGCTACAAATTTAAAACAAAGAGGTATCTTCCATTGTACCACATTTTGGTTGATTTTTACTTTATTATTATTAATATATACTCATATTACTAAAAGAACAAATATATATACTTTGACGTATATGGCTGTAATTGCATATTCAACACATCTTATACGAGATGCAAATCGTAGAGGTCTCTGGTTATACCCTTTTGGGCATACCTATCCTATAAATAAATATATTTATTTGATACTAATATGTGTGTTACCGAAATTATTTGCATATTCATATGTTTATTGTAAACCAACTTTTAAAAATGTAATGTATGATTCATTAGTTTAAAATCCTATGGGCAATAGAAATGGTTGGTTACCTTATCTGACAGTGACATTTTTAAGCTATCTAAGTCTATCGGTGATGGGATAGTGAGAGTCAAAATGGCGGGTGTACCATAGCCAATAATTATAGTACAGAGTCCCAAAAACCCCCGAACTGCCCGGTAAAATAAAACTTCAGTATCGGGTGAATGAGCCAACTTTGTTTGTCGCTTGTCGCAAGTATTTTTTTTTATAACATAAGGTGGCAAACAAGCAAATGGCCACCTGAATGCACCGAAATGGAAAGCGACCGCTGCCCATGAACATCCGCAATTGCAGATGCGTTGCCTACTCTTCATTGACGAAGGGAGACGCACATAAACAGGATATTTCCCCTTCCTATGCAACTCCTCCACCGTCAAATCCAATTTAAACAGTACAGCGCCATCTAGTGATAATATTATACAACTAAATTTATTTTCAATTTGCTTTCCAATACATAAACACCAAATACTAAAAAATGTACCTAAAATGTACTATTTAGTAACTTAATTTCGTTCTAGAGAAGGTACTATTTTCTTTGACCGAGGTACTAATTAGTACATTTTAGGTACATTTCTTTAGTAAGTGGTATAATTTAATTCGGTATGGTACACCTGACATTTTGACTCTCACATGATAGGTCTTAAAAGTTGTAAAATACTCTATATTACTGTACCCCATCTTTTTGTAATATTCCCATCACAAAAAGGATAGAAAACACTGGTCTATATATTTTCTTATAAAATAAAATGCATGATTTTTTTTTTAGTGTTTATTTTAAACCAGTCATTTACAAGTTTTTAAAATATCACTAATAAAATATAGCCTATGTTACTTACAGATAAATTACCTTTCTGATGGTGAAAGAATTTTTAAAATTGTCCCAGTAGTTTTTGAGTTATTTCAATACATACAAAAATACAAAGTTTTCCTCTTTATAATATTAGTATAGATATAAATGCAAAGTTTAGATGTATGTTAGTTTGTATTCTAAACTGAACGGATCTTGATTTGTAACATATAGATAGTCTGGAAAACATATGATACTTATGTCTTTTTAATTCCAAGTCGCGGGCGAAATGAAAGTGCTGGTTTCATGTTAAAAAAACTAGTGTAGCTCTAAATTTAAAAATTGTTAATATATAAATGTTTTGAATGTTATGTTAAAAAAATTATGAATCCCATTTTTGTTGTTTTTATATTGTTTAATGTATACTGTATGTGACTATAAAGGAAGAGGAAGACCGAAGAAAGATGGATTGTGTGAAGGAGGATATGCTTAAAAAAGGAGTGGATTCAGATATGGCTGATAGAGATGTATGAAGCAGCATACTGTGTCGACCCTCCGTAAAGGATAAGGGCAAGTAAATGATGAATGTATACTGTGATGTTTATTCTATTATGAAAGAAATAAAAATCATGTTTTGGTAATAATTGGTAGTTTTTATTTATCACAACTTACATTAGCTTGAATATTTGAGATACAACTAGAAAGTACTCTACAAATTGTCGAATAGTACATCGACTCAATGTTTAAACACTTGGCTTGTAATCTACAGGTCTTTGGTTCGAATCCCAATAGCAATGTGATCTCGAATTTCATCTATACATATAATAAAATTGGAGTGTTTGTTATAAAAGAAAAATTCCAGATATCAGGAAGATGATGTATTTACGTTGGTGATAACGAAAATCGCATTAGAAAATTGTCTGTCTGTCCGCAAGCCGCGTTAGTTCCGGGTAATCTCCGAAACGGCTTTGCCGATTTCGAGCGAACTTTCACCGAAGGGTAGCTGATATGGATAGGCATATAGGCAACTGTTTTTATCTTAATATTGCGTAGATGAAGTCGCGAGCAACAGATAGTTTGTACATAACATTGTTTAACAGTGGTAGAGCCCGCTTTAACATCTTAGCACTGCAGGGCACGCCCCCAGTAATACCACGACCACACAGACAGGCGTGAAGAGGAAGCAATTCCGCTTACAATATGATGAGTGGTGGCGGAGGCCTGATTTAAGTCCCTTTCCCTTTCCACCCTTTTCTTAATAGGAAAGGATGGGAAGGAAAAGCGGATTTAACAGTGGAGGAGACGCATAGGAAGGGGAAATGTCCTCTTTATGTGCGTCTCCTCCGTCAATTAAGATTAGGCAATGCATTTACAATTGCGGATGTCTATGGGCAGTCGCTTCGCTATTTCGGCGGTTTCAAGGTGGTTTCTTCGTTTGCCACTTTGTTATATAAAAAAAAAAAACAATTTACCCGACGTGTAGGTGAAGGAAAAGATATGTGTGAAGTGAATTGACTGTCCTAACTTAGGGTAGGCTCCGAGCCTTAGTGGGGATGTATAGGTGATGATTTTATAGTTGCGGCCAAACAACACTTTCTATCCATTGTATATAGCTTGAAACTCTCGTGTATACAGCTGGTTGTTCCCGCTGACCACATCTACCACCGAAAGATGTGACCCCCATCACGTAAAATATACAAGCATTATTAACATCTTCCACTTGTAAGGGAGATCCTGAATCACCCTGCAGGAGAAAATTCACCCTTCTATACATAAAATTTAAATATATTTTTTATTTTTAACGATTTTTTAACGCGCGTTAAAAAAGCGCCCGGAGGAATATCGACTGAATCGATGTTTAAGTGTCATTCGATTATTAGAATATAAACGCGCGTTAAAAAAACGTTGAAATAGAAAAAAATATTTACATGTTTTTGTTCATATAAGTTATTTCATTTCTTACTAATACATTAGAACCTCGATAAGTTAAAGTCCAAGGGAAACACAAAATATTTTAAGTTACAGAGGTTTTAAGTTATCAAGGGTCTATGTTGTAGAGGTTTTGGGCTCTGATGGGAAGGGAACATATTATTTTTTGAAGTTATAGAGGTTTTTAACTTACCAAGGTTTGAGTTATCCAGGTTCTACTGTACCCATAAATGCGAAAGTTTGGATGGATGGATGTTGCGTATCATCAAAACGGCTAAACGGATTTTGATGAAATTTGTCACAGATGAACATAGGCTGCCTAACGATTTTAACATTTTTAAGTCTATTAACAGTGGTAGTGCCCGCTTTAACATATTAGCACTGCAGGGCCGGCACGCCCCCAGTAATACGACCACACAGAAGACAGGCGTGAAGTGGAGGCAATTCCGTGTTTCGTCTGATGAGTGTGGTGCCGGAGGCCTATTTTAAGTCCCTTTCTCTTTCCCGCACTTTTCTTGTAAGGAGAGGATGGGAAGGGGAAGTGGATTTGACGGAGGAGGAGATACATAGGAAGGGGAAATATCCTCTTTATGTGCGTCTCCTCCTCTGTCGGATAAGGATCTGCAATTACGGATGTCTATGGGCAGCGGCCTCTTCGCCGCTTCAGGCCGCTTGCTCGTTTGCCACCTTATGTTATAAATAATAATAATAATAATAATTTTATGTTTTCGTGTATCCATACCTGACAAGTGTCTTTACCGCCGCGTATTTCTCCCGCGCATATCTGCGTTTCCGAAAATCCTTGCCACAGTCTATTTCTAGTATTTCTTAATAAACCATCGCAATTATTATTATCAAGTAATGTTAGAGACACTTTTTGTAGATCATTTGATGGCTGGTTTTTATCTAAAATTATTATATTATAAATTAGCTGTTGCTCTCGACTTCATCCGCGTGAAATTAAAAAAACATAGCCAAATCTATACTAATATTAAGAGGATAGATTTGCATTTTTGTACGTATTGAAATAACTCAAAAACTACTGGGTCGATTTTAAAAAATAAAGGTAATTTATCTGCGAGTAACATAGGCTATAGTTTTTTTTTATAACACACGGACGTAGTCGTAAGCAACTGCTGGTATCATAAAGAGAAAAGATTTTTATTTTTGTATGTATTGAAATAACTCAAAAACTACTGGGCCTATTTTAAAAATTCTTCCACCGTTTGAAAGGTAATTTATCTGTGAGTAATATAGGCTAGATTTTTTAATTCCACGCGGACGGAGTCGCGAGAAACAAGTATATAAATATTAAATACTAGAATATTCTACTTACGTGGGTCAGTAGTACCCCAGCCGGTCGCAAAGGCGACAGTGTAAGGTCCAAAGTCAGCACCCGACCATAGACATGCAGGTCTAATAGAACTGTCAATGTCAACATCCGCTGCCAACTCTAGAATAGCTATGTCATGATATTTCATAGGCGACTTGTATTCTGGATGTATATGGATAGTTTTTATTGGCACCTGAATCAGATAAAAATAATAAAAAAAAAGAAATCTGACTGATTAAATCTATATACACGAGTAGCTTTCGCCCGCGACTCCGTCCGCGTGAAATTAAAAAAAAAATAAAACATAGCCTTTGTTTCTGACAACGTAGCTTTTTAATGGTGTTTTGGTGTGTGGTGATAAAAACCCTAATGTGTGAAAGAGACCATAAGTTACTGCCAACATTAAGAAAGCAATATTGCCAAATTTTGTCATGTCATGTCATTTTGACATTTGCTATTGATAATTTGACAAATGTAAACATTATAGTGTCTGAATAATTTAGATTAGTTTGACAATTCATTTCAAATTTAGTAGGGATGGGTTGTGTAAAATCAGTCATGAATCTTATCGATTTTCGATTTTTATTCTTATAGAAGTTGGAATCGATAGATTAATAGTAATAATAAACTTATGAATAAAAAAAAACATATCGTCGAATTGAGTACCTCCTTCTTTTGGGAAGTCGGTCAAAAACACTGTTTTCTCAAATTAATAATGACCTGCGGAACCATTACAAGTAATGACAGTAAATAAATGTTTATTACTACTACAGCCGTACGTAATCGAATTGGATTTCGCTATTATTTCTGTCATCGCTAAATTCTCTGCACTATAATCAATACTAGAATTGTCCTTTAAATTAGTTAATAAGAAAATAATAATTTTAGTTGAGTTCGATAATTATTTAAACCGAATATCGATAGTTCATAATTGTTCGCTGCGTGTTTCGTCACTACGATACCTGTCTATTAAGTAAGCATTTGCTTTCATACAAATTGAATTCGATACTTCATATGCGTCATTTATCAAACTAATCTATCTTATTTAGACACACTATAAAATAAAATTTTCATAATTTCATGCGGATGAAGCCGCACGGGAACAGCTAGGTAATAATAAAAACACTGACGTCTATAGGGTTTGCGCCGTCTTGCACTGAGGGGTCCAAATTGAGGTCCCCTAACCTTACAATAGCTGGAATGGGGTCTTTAGCGAGGGGATTTCTGGAACAATGTCCTGCAGTTAAAACATGCTTCGTACTAATAAGAGAACCCCCACAACTAAATTTATATTGGTCATCAAAGTTAACCCAACCTATTGCTGCCTGAAAAAAAAATAAAGAAAAATTACGCGCACGAAAAACGTTACCTTTTTAATAGACAAAAAAATCATCATATTTATATGTTTTTAGATAATAAATTCATTTCTCATATCATATAATATAAATATTTTAAATGCGAAAGTTACGAAAGATGTTTGTTAGCGTTTGTAGCCTAAACGATTGAACGGATCTCCATGAAATTTGGCACAGGTTTAGAGCATAGTCTGGAAGAACACATAGGCTACTTTTTATCCCGGGAATAGTTACGGTTCCCGTGGGATTCGTTAATTTAGTTTTTTAATGTTTACTCGATCATTCTGCAACGGTTCAACATATCTCATTGAAATTTGGCACGGATGTAAAACAAAGTCTGGAGTACACATGGGATAAAGTCTGGGCCTGTCCCAAATTGTAAATTGTCTGATAACAATCCAACGTGTAAAATATTTGATGGAAATATCGGATTCTGTTCCCTTAATAGTATTATTTAAGGCTGTCTGAGCCTCTATCAGCCAGTGGTGGGACAGGCCCTTAGTCTCGTATTTCTCGTTAGACAAATCAATCCAATGGCAAAAGAAACTGGCTTTCGCGCCACTCTGTCTGCATAAGAAGATAGCTTACATGTACTTCCAGACTATACAAACATCAAGATCCCTTCAGGTTAGTCTGCACTCAACAAACATCTAAACACATTTATGGTAAGAATTGTCAGATAATTTCTGACAATAAATTTCGTCAGAAGTTTCAAATACCTACCATATGTGGAAACTCCCCTAAATTCGCATTCTCGCCGCCAACAACCAGTTCTATGTGAGAATGCAGGCAATAAGATGTCGAAACAGAGTTTGGCTTCTCGCCCGGAACAAGAGGCGTATAAACCACGTTTTGTGTCACAATACGACTATACTCTTCACATTCTAAAAACAAGTATAAAAAGATTTTAATTACCTAGATAAAATATTATCTACTGGTTTTCGCCCGCGACTCCGTCCGCGTGGAATTGAAAAAAACAAAAGTGAATAGCCTATGCGTTCTTCCAGACTTTCATCTACATCTATGCTAAATTTCATGAAATTCCGTTCAGCAGTATAGGCTACAAACTCTAACAAACATCCATCTAAACTTTTACATTTATAATATTAGTAAGAAGTAAGATAGCAGATACTGAATATATTTAAGATTATTGCATACAAAAACAAAATGCACTAAAAACAAAACAAAATACACCAAAAACAAAATATTCTCAAAAAAACAGTACACTAAAAAGTAACGAAATAATTCC